TCTAGCAGACTGCTAGAGGCTGCAGTATTTAGCCTCCTTGTTAGAGCACCTGACTCTGATGCTGGAGGCCCGTTCGGAGCGGGTCTTGTAGGACCCGGGTGGAGGGGTTACATTGGTGCCGTGACCCAGGCGGAAGTGAGGTTTAAAGGGGTTAGTGTAACAGAGGCCAGCTTGCTGTGCAAGTAAACCTCAGTCATCTGATCTCAATAAGCGCTCTAACGAAAGACGCTAGGGGCTGCAGTCTTTACCCTTGTTAGAGGGCCCAAATCTCACACCTGAGACCCGGATTCGAGGCCCGCTCGGAGCTGGTCGAATAGGACCCAGGTGGAGGGATTACATTTGCCCATTCCTCATGAACAACAACCTCCAGTTCAATAATATTCTTGGGTGCTGCAACCGCGTTCTTCAAATCCCACCAGAGATCTTCTAGTCAGGTGAATGTGATGGCCACAGTGGAATTTGAGGTGTGCTTGTGATCATTGTCCAGTTGGAAGGTCCAATGACGCCCAAGCTTCAGCTTCCTCACTGACGGCATTACATTTTCTCCTAGTATTTCCTGATACTTCAATGAAATCAACTTGCCTTCCACACGCTGCAGGTTTACAGTGCCAGATGATGCAAAGCAGCCGCAGAGCATCACTGAGCGCCATCATGCTTAACTGTAGACATAGTGTTCAGCATATGCTTCATTCTTCTTCCTCCAGACATACCGCTGGCCCAAAAAGTTTAGTTTCATCTCTACACAGACCAGAACAGAAAGTACTACCATTTTTGATAAATTTAGTATATCCTTGTTGAAAAGTATTACTTCATTTCTTAAATGGGTTATACATTAGAGTTCATATGGATTATAACCTGTGTGGAAAGAAAGAACGCATGGTAAGCGGTCTGTCAGGACTGTAAGCGACAGTTCCTTCAGGCTGTAGATCTCTGAACCAAAAGACCAGTAGAGAGATGCCTGCAGGACTCAACCCCTGGCCTATGGTCACCTCCGTGGCCTGTGCAGATGTCATTTTCAAAGAGAAGCCTTTGTCCATGGGCGCACTGACATATGTGCCACAGAGTTAAATATGTCGAACAAAGCACAAGACATCTGTCAACAGTCGGAGTATCAAGGGGACGTCCTGTTCAGAAATGTGTTGGGTTGTTGAGTGAACCTTAAGTTCTCACATAAGTCAATCTGAAGTGGTTGACAATTACGGAGCATATGAAGGAGGACAAAAAATGGAAGTATTATACGTTTTTTAAACAGAACAAAAAAATACAAAGCTTAAGTCCATTTAATGAAACACTTGTTACGTGTTATTTTCTCCTGTTAAGGCATGAATTAGTCCTTGAATTGAGAGGTCATTTTTGACAGGGCTAATTATCTATTGTACCAGCAGAGGGCAACAACATTACCATCATCTGGAGAAACGTATGGGAACTACTTACACACACATTCAAATGAACCCTGCGTGAAAACCAAGAAGGTAATATGCGCTTCTATAAATGATACAAAAATGCCTGTGCTTTGATTCTCTTTGCAGAGTCTACTGAATTATAAATATGTGAAGATGTGTTTTATGACTATAGGAACAAAGGGAGTGAACTGTGCTTTTGCATTCACAGATGGTAATACAACACTTGCCTTAATATTCTGCCAAGTCGGTCTTTTATAGTGAAATGCACCAGTGTGATTAAGCTTGAAAAATACAGCAGGGAAGTCGTTATTTAATGGCCACTTTAATTAAGCATTATAAAAAATTACTGTTACTTTACCAACTGGAATTCATAAATCAGAGAAAGTGCAAATATCTCTGTGTGAAAGCAACACCTGACTGTGAGAGGGTTTTTTAAACACTGAGTCTAATTACCTGGGGTCAGAGGTTGGGTTATTAACACGATTAACGGATTAAGCAATTGACTTTAAAGCAGAATTTGGTCTCCGTTTTTATGAAACGTTTATTTCCCACAGATTAACGGCCGTGCGAATGAGTCTGGGTCAGTCAGGCAGTTGCTAAAATGTATATCTCAATTTTAAGTTGCCTTTTGGAAATGTCAACACAGTGAAGGGCATCCTTATTTTGGGACAATCAAATTTCTGTCTGTACCGCTCTTCAATGGAGAGAGTCATAAGGGAAGAAAAATACCTCCCCTCACAATAAAAAAAAAAAAAACCTGCATTAATATCAAAGACCCGCTATAGAGAGATGTGAAATCGCTGTGGCTTTGCAGGGGAACGGTGACAAAAACTCAGCGGGGTGGATATTTAATTCCATCTCACACTTTAGAAGTAAGAACCATCTTTCTGCTAATAGACCGAGTGTGGGAATTATTTTAAAACTTCGTTCAAATTCTCATTGTCCCGAATCTCCCCCAAAAAAACGATTGTTGACTTTATTTGTTTGTCAGCTAACACATGCTCTCGACGTTCCTGCAGAATATAGATTGGTTGCTGGCGTCAGACCGCAGGTACGGGCATGTGGATGTGTGGTGCTTGACTGATAGCGTCTATAACCACTGGCAACACACAGACTCAATTCACACTCAGAGATGGCATGACAGCGGGCTGCAGGCAAGTTATTTCTTGAGGAGGAGCGGAGCGAGCCTGTGGCACAGTAGCCAGTCGTGTCCTCAGAGACTGATGCTCCAGCCCCAGGTCTAGGTCTACTTGAGATATCATGCACTTTGATCTCCTACCCAAGTTCCCTCAAAATCCACCTCATGTCCTTCTCTGAGTAAAATAGTTTATCTGAGATGCATGTTTATATTTGCGATTTTGCACCTCACCTGTTGCACCTTGTAATTCGCTTCCTGGCACTTCTATTGTTAATTTCATAAGCTAGTGAAGTATTTTTAAGGATCTACTTGCTCTGTTAGCAGCCAGCTATCTTGTAGGCTAACTGTTCTGTCAGCACTGTGCTAGCACTTCAGTTGCTGATTCTATATTTCAATCTTTGCTCTGTTAACAGCTTGCAAGCACATATTTTGTTTTCAAACATTAGCATCCCAGACAGCAAACTGACATTGAATCAACGTGGAAACGACGTCTCTCATGACATTGAAACAACGTTGATTTTGCTCATCGAATTAACGTTGAACCAACGTCAGACGCAGCATTCTTCAAAGCTAAATGAAAATCGAAAATTGGTTTGAAACAACGTTGATTTCAAGTTGATTTTCCGTTAGTTTTGAAAGAATGACGCGTCTGACGTTGGTTCAACGTTAATTCGATGAGCAAAACAATGTCAGATCAACGTTGTTTCTATGTCATATTTCCACGTTGATTCAATGTCAGTTTGCTATCTGGGATATTACTCACTCTTTTCACTTGCTAACAGTTAGCCTACTGCTCATTTATTTTTAGTAGCAATTTTCTGCTAGCTAGTAGGCCTACTTTTAGTTAGCCAAGTATTTAGGTTCTCTTTTGCTCTGTCAGTAACTTATTCAGTAACAAACCTAAGTTGTTGTTTTTTTAATCTATTTTCCAGTGTGCTCTGCTGTTAGCAGAATGCTAGCATGTCTATTCTTGATTTCATATAGCCTACTAGCCAAGTATTACTCAATCTTTACACTCTGTTATCAGCTTACACTTAGGCTATTATTAATTTCAGAGGTAATTTGTTAGCAAAGCAGTTTTCTAGCATCTAGGCCTATTCTTGATTTAAAATATTAGCTAAGCATTACAGTTTTTCAGTCTGTTAGCAGCTTGCTAGCACTGACATTAGCTATGTATTTTTTAGTCAGATTTTCTTTTAAATCTGACTTTCTCTTCTTTTCTATAGGTGTTAGCTTAAATTTTAGATCTATTTTGCTCCGTCAGCAGCTGCAAGCACTGCTCGTTAATTTTGTTGACTGTCTATATTTCAATCTGCTTTGCTCTGTTATCATCTGAACTCCATTTAGCTAAGTAGCCTATTACTTGATCTTTTTCACGGTTAGCCGCTTGCTATCATTTGTTAATTGCATTAGGCTACTTTTTTTTTTTTCAAACCAACCAAGCACTTATTCAGTTAGTTTCATGTGAGCTAAATATTTGGTTACACTTTATATTGACAATCCCCTTTAAACACTCTTTTGACTATAAGTAACATTGCACCTACATGTCAACTAACTCGCATTAGAGTTTTAGTTGAGTATTAGTAGACTGTACCAAGTACAGTCTACAATAAACTCACATCAAAACTATAGCAAAATAAAGTGCTACCAAGTATTTTTTGATACTGTCTACATACATTTGGACCATTGAGATCTCATTGTGGACAGGGCTACCCAGCATGCCACAACATAAATAGACGCTAACCTGCCAATGAAGTTGTCAATGAGTTCTCAAATATATCAGTGCAAAAAAACGATTTCAATCGCTGTTTTGGATATCAACTGAACGTTTATGTTCTTAATATATTGGCCAAAAAATATATAGTAGTATTAGTACAAACTAGGACTTTCCAAAACATAAAGCCTTCACATAGCAACAAGTAATCTGCAGAACCGGATGCCAAACGACAGATTGCTTTGACTTGGCAGGAGACGGCTGATAGCGTAAGATTCAGATCTTCCATTTATAGAAAGAAAACCTGCATGTGATAATAAAGTCTTGGGGAAGCGATAAAAAACACCTGTGTGCAGGGTCTATTTTAGGATTGGAGAAGTCAAGGTCATCCATGCGGAGACAAATTTTGGAGGTACAGTATGGCTAACAAAGGGAATATGTTAGTGGTTTCCGCAGAGCGCGGCACACAGACAGCTGGATCTAAGAAAGAGACCTGCTGGGAAGAGAGCTAAAAGGCAGGAAAATAAGTATATCAGTAACTGAGGAGGAGCCATTATACAATCCGGCCATACGGAGTCCGCAAAACAAAAAAAGATGTGGCAAAACACTGAAGGGTTTAGGATGTTTAGGCAGCCCTGTGATAGCAAACAGTTGTAAAAGACGAGACAACCATTGTAATGAACGGTGAAACAGCATTTCCAATTATTTTAGTTTTCATAATTGAAAATGTAAGAAAATACCATACCTTTCACAGGTATAAGCAGCAGCCTGTCAATGACAGATTTCAATCAGCAGATCTCATCACCTCATCCTCCACTCTCTCGTCTCCAGTGGCCCATGTGACCTTCCCCGCCTCCGCCCTCTTCTTCCCACTGCTGCCCTTTTGCCGTTGGAGGCCTGTGTGGCCCCATCACTCTTAGTGCTGGTCTCTCTGCCAAACGCCAGGGCTAAAAATATCTGTGCCAACAAGGCAGAGTGGGTTCAGCCCTCGAACAGGAATAGCAGAGTAGCAGTCAACTGCTGTCTGACAGAGTCGGTGGAATTGTCAGCTTGTGAGAAGCACGATGCCCTCGGTTTCCCTTTCAATTTCTCCCTCGCCGTTTTCCTTCCATAGGTTGGACAACATCTCCGTCCCCTCTGATTCATGACAATGTTTCAGACCTGACTGCTGCAGAGAGGAGGAGTTGTTAAGACGGAGGAAAGTGCAAATAAATACGGCATATGTTTGTTTCCTACGATTTCAATAGTGTCAAAATATGAACTCATATCAAGCACTTAATACCACCCACAAATGTTACATTAATCACACCATGGACCTCAATTTGGGTTAGTTTGACTTCTTAGTTCATTCGGTTATACTGTTATGTACCTTGGTGAAGCGTTCAGCCCACAACACGTAGAAAATACATCTTTCCGACAAAATACTAGACATCATTTGGGAAAATCAGACATTTGAACACACTGTTTGTTATACAAATCAAAAATCTGAAAACAAATCATTAAATAACTCCTATTCACATAAAAAGGTGGTGTGTACACTAAAAAGAATGCCAATGTCTTCATTTGATCAGCACTTTTTTTAACATTTATTATCATGGTTAAACTATGTTTGCATATGTGTTTTTGCTGCATTTAAAGGGTTCACCTGTATATAAATTTGCCCCTAAGACTGTACTTATGGACAGCCTTATTTTCATTCACAATAATTTACACATGGACTTTAGTAAGAGTAGAAGCCACATGGATCAATATATGAGCACGCAATGGATTATTTTAGACTATGAATGGTGTACATTAAATTTGACTCCCGGAGATAAGAAATACATGTTTCTCTTTTTCTTCTCATATTTGTGAAATCATTGCAAGTCTGAGTCACTCTCTCTCTATTCTACTGTGGTCATGATGAAATATTCAAATACTGCTCAAGCTTTTAGAAAGCTAACTATTGCCATCTAGTGGTAAGATACAGAAAGGCAGTAGCAGCCAAGTTCAAGCTCGTGAATAGTTAATCTGATTGCATAAACGCTAAATAGTGCACACACCGTGCAGTAGGTGAAATAGATGTGTGATGTGTAAATGTTCCACTTTGATTGAAAGCTGACATTAGCATGTTTGAAGCTTAAAATAAAACATAACTGTTTCACTAATGTCATTTCATAAGACTGGCAGTAAAAACCACAACCACATGGGGGCGCTGTCATTGGCTGAAAGCTTTTGATTGTTTGTTGTTGCGCATCAAATAGACCTTGAGATACATATTCAATTGGGTTCTTATGTAACGTTCATGAATGAGAATTTAATTCCTTTTGTTTGGGCTTCTGGTGTGTTACCTCTAGACTGACTCTTGAGCAGCAGATCTCCAAACAAAAGCTCTATGACCGACTACATTTCATTGAGTTTTATTAAATGGTCAAACAGCAGGAGCCAGGAACTGTGGGGATTATAGATAATGCACATTGAGAGCCATTGTGTTAGCAGCCCTGTCAGGAATATTTATTTATGTGTAATTGTAGCTCCCTTCACACTTAGAAAAAAAGGTACAGTGAAGGTACAATTATGTTCCTATGGGTACAAAATATATAACTGTACCTTTAAAGGTCCACAATAGGTCCTTAGGGTACAATTATGTTCCCAAAACGACTTATAAAGGTACAACTTTTTAGGTTTGAGTGTGGAAGGTCCATTTTTGTACCTTTTCCTTTTTTTACAGTTGAGGTCCAAATAGAGTAACTTGTCTGTTTATTTTTTATTTTTTATTAATTAACATTAAAACACCATATTAAACATGAAATAATTATGCTTGTTTGTTGTAAAGTAGCCAGTTGCCTATATTTTTTGTTAAAAAAACTTTATCAAATTATTATTATTATTTTGTACTGTTGCATAAAAACGGAAATTAAATGTTTTAATTAAATTTCAAATAAAGACCACGATGAACGACAACAAAACATATTCAAAACTTATTTTTTTGCTTAAGCAGACGTTACGGTTGTTGTCGCTTTAAGAAAATTTCCCGCTTGACTCATTCGGTGCGGACCGGTAGTAACCTGTTCTTTTGACAACTTCAGACACGATTTTCCAACGTCCGAACATTTTTGGAGGACACCGTTTTCAGGTAAATGCGAGATGATGTTTTTATTCCTCTTTGTTCGCGTATGACGGCAAGTTCTGTTGATTTTGTCTAATATTATGTCCCTCTGCTTAAAGCTCGCGAATACTGGCTGTGGTATGTTTCTGACCGGTAGTAACCTGTTCTTCTGACAACTTCAGACACGATTTTCCAGCGTCCGAACATTTTTGGAGGACACCGTTTTCAGGTAAATGCGAGATGATGTTTTTATTCTTCCTTGTTCGCGTATGACGGCAAGTTCTGTTCATTTTGTCTAATATTATGTCCCTTTGCTTAAAGCTCGCGAATACTGGCTGTGGTATGTTTCTGACCGATTGGGAAGAGCCCTCAGAAGTAGCAATGGAGTTGGCGAGAGTGTCGTTCAATTAGCAGGAGCTATTGCAGTTTGGGATATAATTACCTGAAGAGGAAGAAAAAAATTGAGGGTGAGTAAGTTATGTTAGTTGTGTCACATGTTGAGATGTTTTTCTTTCTTTTTTTCATCTTTAATCCAAGTTAGGCTTCTACTTAACGGCCTTTATCGACTAAACTTTCAAACCTTGTAACGTAGTTGTAGGCTGAGTCTCGTCTCATACCTATTAAAAAAACTGTGGCAAACATTATTTGCAGGACTAGCCATTGTAAGTAATGTTAGTGGTTATCTCAGTTTATGCATTTTGAGACCGTTGGGATTTCGACATATCGTGGCTTAAAAGCATTGGTAACGTTAACGCTCCGACTGATATTCCGTTAACGTTACACACGGCCATCAAACGGAAAATCAATTGATTACTAAGTAAAATGGACAACACAGAAGCGGTAAGAATATTTTATTGCATTGTTACAAACACAATTTATGATATAATAAATTATTAAAATTACTTAGATTTTAAAATTCCACGTCATCATCCAAAATAAATTACTTATTTTAAGTATTATGCAAATAGGTCGTTTTTTTATTCACATTATCCACAAACAAAAATAACATTGATACCAAAGGGATAATTCACCCTAATATGAAAATTTCTGTTGTTGATTATTCATCCTCATGTCGTTCCAAATCTGTACGACTTTTGTTCATCTTTGTAACACAACTGGAGATATTTTTTTAATAAAGTCTGCAGAGCTTTCTGTCCCTCCATTGACTGCTACTTAACTAGAGACTGAGGTAGTAATATGTCAATATCATGTCATATCTTTGTTTCAGGAATGGATTACAAATCAGATTCAGCACTTCTCATGTTGACAGCCTTGTTCAGAGAGAAGCTTGAACTCTTCATTGTGCTTGGGGAGGTGCGCATATTTCTGTCTATGACTTGAATGTCTATCATTAATGCATTTTATAATTCTTGAAATATATTTACTGCCAACATACAAATTGGGTGAATAATAATCATCTTACTCCTTATGCATGTAGATTATTTGTCATCAGTTAACTTGTATGATTATAAAATTTGATTGAGATAAAATCTAATTTGTGCTTTTGTCTTTTAAAGTGAAGTCATCGGAGTTGCAGTCATCGGAGTTGATGGGATAGAGATCTGCCGGGCTAGTGGTGTGGATGAAGGGGCTCTTTCTGCATTTTGTGTGTTTTGTCTTCGATTTGACAATAACTTGTGGTCCTAATGACTGTCAGAGACTTTTCAAAGTACAATTCCTGTCATGTTTACCAAAAGGATAAACACACAATGTTACAACGGACTACTACTGATGTTCCTCTTCCTTTGTTTGAAGACGCCGAGGAAGAATCTGATAATAGTGTTGCATTTTTTGCCCCCCAAACATGGAGCTGTTTCAGCAATTTAGAGAGAACAGTACTTTTAATTATAACAATTCCTCATTTGTAAGGATTCTTAAGGTGTTACGGTTAAAAACTTTTTAATAATTCATATTTCCTGAGTAATGTCTAATGAGCTTTTCTGTGCAATTATCAATTAATTCTCTCGACTCACACCTGATGCTGTGACATCACATGTAATAATTCGTTGTAAAAGAAAGTTTCTTAATAAAATCTGTTAAATATGCATATCTGTAAGCCAGTTTATGTAATGTATATTTTTTGCTCCCCTTAGGTTCAAAACTTATTTGTCATTGGGTTGTACCCTGGGAATTATTTTAAGGTACAATTTTAAGGTACAATTTTGTGCTTTTATTGCAGTATGCACAATGGGGTACAAAATTGTCCCTTAAATGGTACAAAGTTATAAGGTACAATTTTGTACCTCATATTAAAGGTACAAAAGGGTACCCTCCAGGGTACCACCCCAGTGACAGCCACTTGTACCCTAAAAGGTACAGTTTTGTACTTTTTTTTCTGACAGTGTTCTTGTGCATTTCCAATAGACCTCATGTCAGCTTAGGAATTATTCCAATTAAAGCATTTAATGATGAATAAACATGTCTTAAGCATGTGTTTAATATTGCTCGCAAACAATAAATATTGGCTCACACTTCAGTTTACACACCACACATAGAATGATGAAAAGCTAAGTATTGTTAGTTGCTTTATTACAAATTGTTAACCAGAGTTTCTAATTATTTACAAGATGTGCGAGTGCATTAAAGATAACATCATAAAGCAAACACTATAGGAAGGTCGTTTTGTTTAGACATAAATATAAAATCAGAAATACAATCAAAGCCTGTCAAACTGCAAGCAAATGCATGTGTTTCAGCTAAAAATACCTGACACAGCGTGGTGTTATTCTGCGTTTGAGGATAAACTCCCAGATCTCGTCCTCTGGAGAAGGCTTCCCTAAAAGTAGACAGAGAAATCAATAAGTTGAATCATTAGTCTGGCTCATGTGGGCAAATTATATAAACATTAATTGGATATGACAGAGAGAGATTGCTTTTTTATCCATTTGCCATAGGCATTTGTCTTCTTGTAGCCTATTTGGTTTTTACTGTAAATACAGCTGCGCTTAAGAAAAAAATGCGTAAATTAAATTATTCATATTTTAATATAATATAAAAGGTTTATTATTTTTTTTTTAATCAAATCTTTATATGGAAAATAAATATGCACTTTTTAATAACATTCTTTTTGGAGTCAATCTGAACTACCAGAAATCATATTGTAGAAAAAAGAAAAGAAAAAAAAACATTTAAATAGATTTAAGAATCTAGGAGCTTCAGACAGAAAACGGGGGTTTGTATTGTACATTATTAAAGAACACCACCTGTGAATAAAGCACTGCCCTCCTCTGGTTTAATGGAGAAAGGTATTGCAATGGAGTATGTGTGCTTTCTTTGACTGACTGACGGCAAGTGACAAGAGACTTCACGAATCAATGGGGAACCTGCTCAGATACTCTGAAAAAGAAAAGGCAGGTGTTATTTTCTTAGTTCCTTTTAAACAGGACCAGCATGTCGTTAATATGAAAGATGCACGTGTTCACATATGTGCACTCACCGCATGGTGGCAGGACTGCGCTAGTCATGTCAAATAAATGACTCCCACCGTACTTTTCGGCACAGAGGCTCACTGAGGTAAAAACCCACCTGACTCGATGCCTATTTATACAGACAACGCTTCACTTTCATCCATAATGTGATTATGCCGTCCCGTGGAGCAAAACGATACCACCGACCGCAAACTGTCAATATGAGTCTCCATGTGCCTATTGTACCGCCGGGCACGCGTTGTGTTCTGCCCGTCCCCCGCGGGTAGGGACAGGTCACATAAAGATTAGTCGGGTCTCTTCTCATCAGTAGGGGTCCCGACTCCCATCAGGAGAAATAAGCTTCTTCCAGGCAGGTGACTATTATAAACAGGTGCCTCCTTTTATTTTTTGTGTTGACACAAGGTGGTCTAATTTCGCCTCTGAATCTTTCAGCAACATATTGTTCCGCCTGTTCTCTTTTGGCGCGAACCTTCCTCTGACGATTTTTTTTTTTTTCACTCGCGAATTTCACTTTTTGCAAATATTAATAGGTCTTGCTCATTTTGTTGCTCAGTTTCTGTTAGATTTGTCTGCTGTGATAATTGGGCTCAATCAGAGATTATTCATGGCGCTCTCAGACATGACCGAGCAGCTTTGTTTGCCTTGTGCCTCTCTGACAGAACCAACCCACACGTTCGGCTTCGAAAATGCCTCTACCTCACAATGAGTACCGCACTCATCCGTTTTGTAGGCTTGCATGTCCTTAATTACGACCAATTAACGCGTGGACGCAAAACATCCTACTTCTAAATGGACACAGCCTACCCTGAAAAATAACATTTCAACCTCACCAAAAAGAAAAAAAATAGCACATACTGCAAAGCGCAGCAAAACAACCCCCCTGCATGTTGTAGTATTTATCAAAGAAAGCAAATCGCTGATATTTTTCAAGTATTAGGCTACATCTTCTTGAAAATAATTACAGCGGTAATGACTTTTTCCCAGTAATGCCGGAACAGAAGCCGGAAACATGTAGGCCGATAAAATATCAGCGTCCTGGCCTCCCGGTGCGCTGCCCTCCACAGCCCCACTACAGTCCAGTGTCCACACGGCTGATAAACCATTAGCCCGAGCCGTGACTCACTCGTTGATCGTAGTGAAGTGCGCTAGCGGACAGCCTGGCCCAATACTCCCAATTGTTCCCCTAATATCTGTCTAATGGCCTCCATTTAATCTAGGGAGGATGATTATTACGTATCCCTCCCCCCCTCCCTTTTCCCCTGGATGAACACGCAGACACACAAAGCAGTGGTCGTAGCAGATGAATACATCTCGGTCATCAGTGTAAAGTAAAACATAATCAGTGCATTTTGCTCCAGTGCATGAGTATGCTAATGCGTCGCTGCGTAATTTTAGATTATGTTCCGATAGCGACATGCAGTCTCCGTTTGTCTCGGGTACGTGTTACGTGATCGTTCTCCACGGTTTTCTTTCTATCCACTGAGAGGGTTTTCATGGGTTTCCAGATTAATTGAATGTAGATTATTATTCTACATTTAATTAGACAAAATTTGGTAACTTTTATGGTCCTAAAATCCTACTGTACTGGTCTCCCTGGCTGGCGGCCAGGATGGTTAAGCAAGCTAAGCAGTTTTCATGGTTTTCGATGGGTTTTGTCCTGCTGGTTATGATAGGAAAATAGCTGAAAACTAGCTTGGTCGGGATGAGAGACCGGTTAACCGGCTAAGACCAGGCTGGTTTGGTTTTCTGCAGGGAAGCAAGAGTTGTTGTCCCTCTTATTTTTCCCCTCTTCCAACATTATTGGACTGATTACTTATTTTCCTTCCTCTTGTAACTTCATTTCTGCCTTTGATCACTCTATTTGTTTTCTTCCATCCTCTATGCAACATTCTGTCATCATTCCTTCCACCTTCCTTCTTGCTTTACTTATGTTTCCCCTTTATCCTTCCTACTTTTTGTTTTCCATATATTTTATTTCCTTCCTTCCTTCTTACTTTATTTTATCTTCCTTCCCCTTGCAACTTACTCGGTCTTCCTAATTTGTCTTCCTTTCCTCCTCCAAGCCTCCTTTCCTACTTTTGGTTTTTCTTCCATCCTAGTGTCTTTTCCTGTTCATCCATCATTTTCCTTCCTTCCTTGTTGTCTTCTCACATTCTTCTCGACTTACCTACTTTCTCTTCTTTTCCTCAATCCTACTTTTTGTTTTCTATCCTTCCTTCCTTCATCTTTCTCGATTGTTAAGGCAAAATCCGGTGTGAAATTTAAGTCAGTCCTACCCTCACTACAACACCCTGGACATGCACTAGCATGCAGACCTTCATTCACAATTCACAGCCGGCTTGAAGCTCCCGTACAGCTGGACTAAATCCAAAGAACAGCAAGCCCTAGTCAAATATATTTTGTCAATATTTAGGCTTGTTCGGTTTCTTTTTCCGCCTCAACAAAAGTTTCATTTTATTGAGTGTTTTGCAGGGTTTTCCGTCTCCTCGCAGGATTTCAGAACAATTGACCCTCGAGGTGCTCATAGAAAATGAACTGCAATTTTCAATCAATATTGGTCATATGAAGGAAAAGTCTACATTGGATGATATTAAATGTTAACAGAGTGCTCAAGACATGAGGTACAAATATTGTGCCAGCATTTGGGGACATAGAAGTGGGCATAATATGATGCAAAGATGGATTTCTCTTGGTTGACGATACTGTTTGAGTTGGGTAAATAAAAGCCACACAGACAGATTTGTACTACAGAAGTACCTCTGTATACTTTTTAAAGCTATAGCAATATCCTCACAGCAAAAAAAAAAGCTTATTTTTTACACAAAATATGGTGGAAAAAGCGGGAAAGTGTCATTCATTATGCTCCGTTCACATTCTCAATTCTTACTATTTGACCAAACTCAGAGTGACGTATATAATATAAATATAAAGTAATAAAATATGATATAATAAACTGTAATATAATCTAAAAAATATAACTATAATATAACACAATATTATGAACCAAATAGCCGAATGTGTATATGCCGGTTCAATTGAAGCTTAATGTTTCTGGAAAACAAACAAGAACAGAGGCGGTGTTTTGCAGATCCAAAACTATTTTTGCCGGCATGTTGACTTAACTTGACTCCAGTGTTGTTTATTTGTTTAGTTAGTCGTTCATCTATAAAAATGGAAGCACACGGCAGAAGCCGTCGGTGCTATTATCCCACTTAACCATGTTTCCAGCATTTCGAAAAAATAATATCATCCAATTCGTATGGGCTCATTAGCTCCAACTATGACCTTGTGTGCATTTTTAAAGCAGGAACAATGAATGTAACACTATTATAAGTGCTCTTCATTCTGCATACTCTAACAGAGAACTATCAAATTACCTTGATTTCTTGGCGCGCAGGCCTCGGTTAGCGCACCTGACACATGTCGCGGCGCATTATTGGGGCAGTTACCTTTCAGACATGTGCTGAGGAGTGAACAGGGAAAGGTTAGAAGGTTTCATTCCCCAGTTAAAAATAGTAGAGCCTTGGTAATGGAGGAGTGATCATTTCCACCGTGCAGCGAGGTCTTCGATGGCTGCTGACAACATTAAGGGCGTAGCAAGGATGTGAGGTACTTCAGAAGAAACTAATCAGGCACAATATGTTTCACTGAAAAGGTTTGAAGAAGGCTGCCAATGGAAATGGAGAGCAAGGCAATTTATTTAGAAATATATTTAAACATTTGCACAGCGACCGCCGCACGTTTTGTTAAGAGGTAGGCGAAAGACCTATTAAGCTACGGCATATGTTCGTTGATTAGAAACGAGGATAGTAATGCCATACACAAAACATTTGCAAGAACAAAGCATTTGTAACAGTACTATGGATTTGCGTTCACAAATTAAGAATGAATGACCTACTAAACACTCTTTTATGTAAGCAAAACGGACCCAGATTTGGCCAAAACAATCGAAATTTAAAGAGTTCAACAGAAAGCACACATCAAAACTGCCGTTTTAAATTGTCTGCAATACACTGAGATTATTTTGAGTTGGTGCTGAATGCAAATGTTTCTGGATCAGAATATGGGTGAGAAATGACTATAGTTTTGATGTATGCATCTCATGACTCTGTATAAATTACTTGCATTTGACACACATGAATTCACACTCAAGAGAAAACGGAAACACAAACTCCTCACGCACATGGTCGGTTTTAAAACTCAATGCCCACTAAATGATCTCTGGAGAAGGATTTAGCTTTTTTCCTAAGCTACAGTTTCTCAGAAATGTTTTTAAACTAAACAGATTTGCAGTGCTAAATGTTTAATAGCATCCCATTTATACAGAACAGTCAAATTAAATGAGGAAATTTGGGCAAATTTACAAAAATTGTGAGAGCAATGAAAATGTATACGGTGCAGTGTTACTTAAAGGTTTTTTTTTTTTTTTTTTTAGGAATGAATTACTGAGTAAAAATCAGTGTTCAAAGCTTGTTTTTGCCATGCTGCATCATACCGTAAGCCTAATGACTTAATTGGTTTGTTTTGATGGGACAAAGATAGAAAGAGAGGGATGATAGAAAGAATCCTAAATATACCTTTAATCACATTTTAGCTATTCAGAAATCGCAATTAATCACATCTAGCATGAAAGTTTGTAATCATATATATATATATGATTATAGATACTGTATACACACATATACTTATAAACTTATGTTAGATGCAATTAATCACGATTAATCGATTTGACAGCTCTACTGTAAAGTAATAGTTCACCCCTAAAATATTTCAAATGGCTATTTATTTACTCACCCTCATTTTGTTTCAACCTAAAAAAAAGGTTTTTTTTGTTTGTTTTTTTTTCATAAAAGCAAAACAAGACTAGGTCTATCAAACTACAACATTACAACAACAAAAACTAAGTTC